AAACATATTTGCCATGCCTACTGACCATGGTCTGTCAGGGGATCCCAGGGGGCTGTAAGCTGTCACCGAGATACCCTGGGAGTGGCAGTAGTTGATCAGCTTGTCCTGGGTCAGGTATGGGTGGCACTCCACCTAGTGGGAAAAATGAGAAGCAAATAAGAGTGATAAATCTATGCATGTATCATGTCAGTGAACCCCTTCAAAACATGCACATATTATTATTATTATTACTACTACTACATATTACTTTAGTATTTCCATTACATGACTGAAGAAAAGAGAAGGAAAACAGCTTCACTTAAAAATTCAGCATTGAATGTCTTGTCAAAGGACTAATATTTGTATATGAAGACTCTTAGCATGGCTAAATGAAGTATTTTAGTACTGGCTTAGAAGTAAGATACAAGACCATAAGCCTTCAGACACTGCTGGATCCATTTGGCATCATTTTCAGTGATAAAGTTTCCTGATAAGCAGCTATAGCACTGCTGTGCTCTGATGACAAAAAGGAAAAGAATTGCGCTTTAATCTAATATAAGACACAACGTGACGTTGATGGTAAACCATGATTCGGAGAACAAACAAAAATATAAGGTCACCTCAACTAATTGGCCCAGCCTGAGGGGAAACTGCTGCAGCCCATCATGAACTAACAAGACATTTATTTCTCAGGCCTCACAGGAGGAGACAGATAATGCTATTACGGGCTCTTGCCCTTTAAGAACAGCAAGCATGAAACATTGATGTTTTCTTGTTCCTTCATAGCCCTGAGTATTTAACTTTCACAACAGCTAACTCTAACAACAAACAGAAACGGTTATTTTATACAATATAAATCATTTAGCATACCTGGTTGTTGGCAGGCTTGTATTTGAGGCCCGGCTTGTTGAGAATGGCTTCAATCTGCTCCTTGTTGAAATTGGAGATCCCAATAGCTTTGACCAAACCAGCATCTACCAGCTCTTCCATTCCCTGAGAACATTTGGGATAAAAAACACAAGGACTTTGGTGCTGGAGCCTCCAATAATGCCAAACCAACCTCGACTGACTGGCTAATATTATTTGCCAGCGTCGAACCATCGTAGATATAGGTGTTAGTGTGCACGATATGCAATGATATAAAACATTTTTTCCTTCAAGATTAGGATTTTGTCTGAAAAATAAATAAAGATAAAAAAATCAAACAAAATAATCAGAATTACAGAACAGTAACAGATATTTTCATTAATAATGAAATTATTAATGGAAACAGAATAAAAGTAAGTTGGAAGTAGTGGAGGCCTATTTCTTGTAATTACCTCAGTACATCTGCAGAATTGTTTTTTTCTCTCTTCCCATATTTTTTTACTGTTTGATAACTGTAGTGGTTTTCTCGGCCATAACTTTGTCCTCAATGAAAATCCCAGTTCTCAGTTGGGTTCATTTCAGGACTCTGGGCTAGTCATTTCATTGTTTCATGTCAACTTCAAGGAAGTGGTTTACCCATTGTGCAGCGTGACAAGGAGAACTGTCTTGCATAAAAAATGCTGACTGATTGGAAGCAGATGGGACTGAGGGAACAATGTGCCAATAAAGACATTTCTGATAAATGTTAGTGCTCACACTGCTGTGTATCTGTATAACATGACCATCTTTTCCCTTAAACCATGATCCTTCCTTATCCAAACTGACTGACTTTGTCACACATACTGGGTGCAGTTTTTCCTGGTTTGACACACAACACAATTTCTTATCTCCACAAAACAAAATGAAGTCTGCCATTGTCACTAAAGTGATATACTGTGACCTCTGTAATACTCACACCATGCTCAAAATTATTAGTGCAGCACTATAAGTATGCCAAAGTGTAATTCAGATCACCTATCACACACAGTCTTATTAACTTACCTCCCATGTCTCCAGGAAGCTGGTGTTATCACTGATGGTTTGTCCTGTACTGTCCGAAGGAAAAAGCTCATCACCTGCCTGTAACATGACAAAGGGATTATGCGCCACTAAACAAGATGACGGCAGCAAAGAGTTAAAATATTTTTATGTTTAAAACAAAAGTGGTCCTACCTTAAAACCCATGGGCCAGTGCACTAAATAGAGATCTAGGTAGTCCAGTTTAAGATCACTGAGAGTCTTCTCACAACCCTTCCGGACCAAGGACTTTTCATGAAAAGTACACCACAGCTGGGAAATGAAAGCACACATAAGGCACGCACTGGTAATCAATTTAGTATAAAATCTTAAAAAACAAACAAACAAACAAA